CTTTTCCAAAAATGAAATAAAATTTTCTTTTCTTCTCTGGCTATGTAGACATTTAAAATAAGAAACACTCCATTTTCATACTTAAAAGTCACAGAAAGCTTTCATATCCTCAAAAAAAGTATTAATATATCAATCAATAAACATTTATTAAGTTCTTACTGTGTACCAGGCACTATGTTAGGCAAAGAATGAAGGATGAGCTACTCACAATTTGCTTACATTCTAACAAGTGAGAAAATGTGTGCATATATAAATAGAAAGAGATAACTATAAAGTGAATGAATGTAAACAAATACAAGGCAGTTGAGTACAAGGTAGTTAGGGAGGGCAGTAGCAATTGGAGGGAAGTGAGAAAGGCTTCCTGCAGAGGAAGGCCCTTGAGCTATATCTAAGAGATTTCATGAAGCCAAGTTGAGGAAGGAGTGCCTTCCAGGCAGGGATGGTCATTGTGGAGGTATATCAGTTCTCTTTGCACCTTACACTAGCCTTCATCTTATTCCACAACTTCCCCATTATTCTTCCTAAATTCTGAACCTGGTTCAGAAGCCTGTTTTTCCCCCTTTTGGCTTAATTGTACCCAACTATACATTCCCTAGTATGAAGACAAAAACCTTTCCATGTGACACTTTAGTGGATGAAGAAAAGAGACAAATTCTCATATTCCTGCATAAACCTATTGGTTTCTCCCCTTGTTTTTACAAAAGCCGAATATTCTGTCTGCATCTTACAGAATCATGTAAATGATGGAGTAAGCATGTGCTCCATTGGTCCAAATGTCAGGCATTCCTGATAAAAGGCCACAGCACAAAAACCAAATCTCTTTTAAAAACAAAATTTTATGCTTGTGTGACAGAAGGTGTATGTAACACCAAGCCTTGGATGGCTTTTCCATAAACTATAGATACTATTACTATACATTTAAGAGGTAAGAATGATGTGCACAGTAACTGCCATTTGGTGAAGTGTCTGTGAGAAAACAATCAGTCATTCAGGAAAGACTGTCAGCTGAGATGGCTAAAGAGCGGGTAAGAGGGAAAAAGGACTGAAAGATCTTATTTCCTGAGAGAATTGGATTTAATCCTGATGAGATCATCAAGAAAGATAGTAAAGAGGAAGAAGAAAAGAGAGCACAGGACAGGGTCCTAGGGGGACAGCCACAGTTAAAGGCATGATATTATCAAGACCAATCAAGAGAGACTTGACCTTGATAAAAAACCCAGAGAGAAGAGGCTTTCTAGGAGGAGTAGGTAATTAGCAGTATCAAAGGCTTCAGAGAGGTCAAGAACCATAAGGCCTGAGGAAAGGTCATTAGATTTGGTCATTTAGAAATCATATTCACTTGCCATCTTCACCCAACATTCCTTCACTCCAAATCCCTCCTCTGACCAGTCAATTCTCTGAACAGCTCCCTTGGCTTCTGATTGTGAACCTGCACCATGTCTACTCTCCCACAGATCCCCACCCTATAGATCCCCAGTGATCTCCACCCCATGCCATGCTGATGTACTTTTCTAGTCCTGGCTCCGGAAGCAATAATCAAATCAATGCTGCCATTCCTGGAAATGACACCCCCATCAGTTACTCCATGACTGACTTATCATGCCTGTGATTTCCCTCATCAAAACACCTTTTCTTGGTCACCACTCCTATATGTATGTGTTGACTTCCTCTAAACTGTCTTTTCTCTATTTTTATTCTCAGCACATAGTTTATAGCAAAAACTTAATATTCATTTCTTCATTCAATGAGGACATGAATGTGACCCTCAGGCTTATGAGCTGTAGTAGGCTCCTGTCCTTGTGGAAGAAAACTAATTTCTTGATTATTTGTGAACTGTGCCATGCAGATTTTGATATTGGATACGTAAGTATTGAATATGCCTTTATGGGGTGTTAAACAGCTAAGCCCTGGAGAGAGTTTGTCGGTGTCAAGATAAGACTCAATTAGTTGGTGAGCTGACAGGTCATCAAGACTCAGAACAATTGTAGAGTGAGACCCCTAGAGGAAGGGAAGGAAAGGATTTTTCTCTTTCTCTGCCATGGCACAAAGGAGTAGTGATTTGCCCAGAGGGAGAAATCTCACTTGGCAGCTTGCTGGTTCCTTGGTTCCAGAAAGATCAAGGCACAATTGAGGAAGCAGAGACATACACTACAAACAGGTATAGATAAAGATAGGTTGTCATTTGTGTCTAGAAGCAACGTCCTGGACTAGGAACCCAGACAGGCAGTGAAGAGAGATTGCTATCAACTCAAAGGAGAGCTAGGTCTGGCATTTGAAAATTGAACGGTGGAAAGGAGCCGACCATGGGAACCTAACTGAGCAACCTCCCCAGCAAAGACATTGCTTCCCAGGGGAGCTATGTGAGGACTCTACAAGAGCAAATACAGCTAAGCCCCACCATATCGGGAGCTGTGCATTGCTCTGGCCACACGTGATGCCTACATGTAATGCCTCATTACTCCTGGGCTCCAAACTGGTATCTACTCTTCCCATGGACAAGCTGGGTATTTGTGGCATAGTGTCCCCCAGGTTTCTGTGTGTACATGTGTTGGGGAAAGGAGAATATTTTATAGTTACTGAAATTTTAGTAAATGCTAATCTTAGCAAGAGCTAGTAATTTCTCTTGAGTGATTGTTAATCTAAAGTACACTGGTAGGGTTTATCAGCTATAGTTGAAGCCTAACCCTACAGAATAGACCATTGAACCATATGGGTGGTTCCAGAACCCAAGATAAGGAACTACCTCTGAAGACCTGAGAGTGTCAGTGCAAGCCAAGAGAGTAACTCAGAGGCGGTGTTACGTATGAAAGTGCTTTGCAAACATGAGAATTCTTAATCGTTTAGGACTCAATTCTGGCATTGGAATAAATAATGACCTGGGTTCAGCTGGTATTTCTTGTTCCTAAAGGTTCACATTTCTAAGCCGTTGGTCTATAGGGAGAAAGGCCCAAGAGGAAAATACCATCTTGCACTGAGAGCAGTGATCTTAGCCCCCATGTTTCATAATGGTAACCGATAGTTTTATTTTTACCCTGAAGTTCTATAGAATTGAATGGAAGTTATGAATGATATTTGTCACAGAAAGAGAGAAGCAAGGCTTTCCTTATTAATCAGTATACAGACTATATCAGTATACGGTATGTTGAAAGAGTACATAAACCAAGGTCAAATGTATGTCTAACAAGAACAAGTTGGCATATGTTCATAGCTCCCAGCCTGCCATCCTAGCTTCAAGGAATTGTTAAGAAGATACTGGTTCTGCTTTTCCCTCCAGATTCTTCTCAAATGAATGTTGATTGTATTTATTTTACTCAGCCTGACTCTCCTGACTTTCTCTAAGCAAAGCATACTGACTATAGCTCACTGGAAATGGGGAAACTGGAAAGACAGGGAGGGTTCATTGACTTCAAGGCACATACAAAGGTTACCTAAATAAATCTGTATTTCTATTAATGCTCCATTACTTTCAGGAAAACAAACTCAGAAAAGCTTCAAAGAGGTCTATAGCTCCCCAAAAAGTAGATAGATAGATTGGTGGTGGTGGTGGTGTGTTCGTCTTTCATTCTCGAAGAGGACCAATTACATCATGAGGGTGACTTGCACATGAATTGGATTTAAGTGAGGTGGAGAAGGGCAGACACTGAGATCCCAGCTAAGCTCCCTACCCAGCAGAGATACTGCACCCCAGGGGAGCCGTGGGAGAATCTAGGAAGAAAGTGCTTTGCAAATTGTAAATAGTACTGATTGTGATGATAATGGGAATAATAATGATGGCAATGTAAAGGACTCCCAGGCCCTCTAGTACTGCCTTGGCCGAATCAGCTCCCTCATTTCCATTGCACTCCAAGATCGTGCCCATTCTTCCCATGGGACCTGTATGTATGTGCGGGATAGCATACCTCAGGGTTATGTGGGGGGAGAATTGTCCAGCCACTGTTTTTACTGTGACATCTGAGTAAATGCCTTTGCTAAGAGTTAATAATGTCTATTGGCTGATTGTTAATGGGAAACACATTGGTGGGGATTTGTTAACTATCATGTTGGGAGAGCTGACCCAAACTATGTAGTAGCTGACCTCTGGAGAGCCAATGTCCAAATATAATTGCAAGTCAGCAAGTGGCCCAAAGGAGGAACTAAAATCCTTTGCAAACTGCAATGCACTATATAAAGCTATCATCCACTACCCCAGTAGAATGTAAACTCCCTGAGGACAAAGACTTTTATTTTTGTCTTTCTATCTATCCTTAGTACCTAGCTAAGTGCCTGGCACACAGTAGGTACTAATAAACACATATGATTGACTACTGACTCAAATTGTATGTTCAGCCCCTCTTCGTGTTTGTCTATACCCCCAGTGCCTTGCACAAAGTAGGCATTTAATAAATATTTGTGGCATTGATGATTATAATGTTCAGGAAGTTTTTCCTTGAAGGCAGCACGAATACTTGTCCTGTTAATTACAAAATGGAGAGTGTAATGGAGAGCGTAAACTGGCCTCTTTTTCTTCCTTCCTTCTTTTTTCTTTCTGTATTTTTTCTTTTTCTTCCTTTTTCTTTCTTCTTTTATTTCTTTCTTCCTTCCTTTCTCCCTTCCTTCCCTCCTTCCTTTCTTTCTTCCTTCCTTCCTTTCCCTATTCTTGTTTATTTCTTTCTTTCTTTTAGACTGGCCTCTTTAAAAACAGCTCTGCTTAAAACCAGATGACACTGAATGATCTAAGTCAATCACTTCTTGGGTGACCTTGAGCAAGCCACTGAACCTTTTTACCTTAGTTTCCTTATCCATAAAATGAGCCATTTGGACCCCATGATCTCTGAGGCAACATCCAGCCTTAAGGTCCTGTGGCCCGTCCCATGATTTACCTCAGCTTTAGCATCAAGATAGAGCTGCTTTTGCACATTTTGAAGAAGAGAGGGCGTCTTGCTGAAGCCATACATGAGTTGACCATGAAGTGCGCCACACAGAAGCAGTTCCTCTTTAATTCTCTGCGTATTTTTTTCTAGATGCGGTTGGAAGTTGTGTAGCAAAGCTGTCCTTCAGTTGCACCTTGAAGGGTCATTACTGCCTATACAGTAAGTCCAGCTTTACCCTCATCAGCCACCAGCCTCAGCTATGGATTCGTATCATGTTTCTGTTTCAGCAGGTGTGTGCCATGCGCGTGAATAGCAGCACCTTCATGAGTAACCGTATCTTGGGTTTGGGGGAGGCAGCTAGGTGGCACAGTGGATAGCGTGTTGTACTTAGAGTTGGGAAGATCTGGGTTAGAATTTGGCCTCAGACACTTATTAGTTACAAAACCCTGAGCAAGTCACATAACCACTTTGGGCCTCAGCTCCCTTATCTACAGAATGAAGGGACTGGACCTGATAACCTCTAACCTCTAAGGTCTCTTTCAGCTCTAAAGCTATAATCCTGCAACCCTAAAAACCTGTCAACATGTGGACTGTTTCAGCAAGTCACGGGTCAGCGTTCATACGGAGACTTCACTCAATAAGTTCATTGACAGTGCATGTGAATAAATGGATGGATGGATTAGTGAATGAAAAAGCATTTATTAAGCATTTACTATATACAAAGCACTGTGCCTTATGGGCATACACTTGTATACATATAGAAATGTGCACATATACAAATATATATACATTTATGAATGCATATAAACACGGGCCTTAGTTTCAACAAAGTGTTCTTTAAAATGATCCCTCAAAGGGGGGCTTTCCACCACCTTGAGCACCATCTTCCACACAAAAATGTCTTGGTTAATTATCAACCAATCACACAAGGCTTCTCATCCTCTTTGATCTTTTAAATGCTAACTTCTTTGGTTTAACATTAGAGAATGGAGGAGGGAGGGGAAAAATAATTTGGAATGGAATGGGATAGAAAAGTACTTATTAATAGCTTGCTATGTGCCATGTATGGTGCTAAATATTGAGGATTCAAATAGAAAATCAAGGCACTTCCCGGTCTCCTGGAACTCGCATTATAATTAAGGGAGACAACACATTAAGGAGAGATCATGTTTATGTTCGGTTCACGGTATATAGAAAGATCGAGTATTTTTTTGGGCAGAGACTGTAGCAAGACCCAGAGGACCTTGGGAAATAATGACAGGGAAGATGGACTCCAAGAAGAATAGAGCTGGTTCAAAGGTTAGAGGAAAGTAAAACTCTGGTATCTTTCCAGCTGAGGTGGGGATCTCAGGGTCAGCGTCCATCTGGCACTGGGTATCCTGTACCTGGTGGAAAGTGGGCAGTGGGGCAAACAAAAGAATATAGTTAGACTAAGCTTTCCTCATGTAGAAATGTCTTTGCTTCCTTTTGAGTTTTCTCAGATCAGTTTTACTATCCCAATATTCTTTAATTTTGGGTATATGTATGAATATGTATATAGAGAGAAGGATACTACATTTCACTAAGTCATACATATTCTGGGGCAAATTTTTATGAAAGAAATTATCAACCTAGCAATGAAAATATTGAAAACCTGCTCATTCTTTTCTATAAGGTCCTTGCAAACATGGAGTATTTGGATTTGTCTTTGTCTTATCAATACCTAGTACAGTGTCTGGCACAGAGCAGGTGCTTAATAAATGTTTATTCACTGACTGACCCTGTCATGTCTCAAAGAAGTTTTCAGAAAAATGTGGCCAAGGGAGAACCAGGATGCTCTGAATTCAATAGAGTTCATTAGAGTTCAATAGAGTTCATTAACCATTTGTTGAATGAATGGATGGATGGATGACTCGCTGACTTTGAATTATAAAAAAAAATCTTCAGAAAAAACATTTTTTAAGCTAGAAAGCAAATCCAGAAAATGTAAGAAATTATAAAATGAGGCATTTTCTTAGCTTCTACTGAGATCATGTCTGTGTTGACCAAATAGGATACTGAATTAATTTTCAACTAAAGGTCCAAATGCTAAAGTTTCCCCAATTTCTGCATGAGAGCTTTGAGGTGGAAGTACAATAACAGAGAAGGGACTATGCAGGGGTGCCTTAGTGCCACATTTTTTTTTCCATATAGCATTTAATCAAGTACATAGAATGATGTCATGATAAGAACAACTCACATTTCAGTGTGATAGATAAAGATTCTTAGGTCTGGACTGGGATTTCATTGGGAAAGGAAACTCCCAGTGTCATGATTCCATTCTCTGATAAAGATCAGCCACTCCTTTGTAACTTGGCTTTAGAAAGTTCTTGGGGAGCACTGAAGGAATGTTTAAGTGACTTGCCCAGGGTCATCCAGCTACTACGTGTACCAGGCAAGACTTGAATCCAGGTCATTCTGAATCCAAGGCCACCTTTCTATACCATCCTTTTTTCTCAGGTTAAGTTTGCACCTAACAAAATTTCAAAGAAAAATACAATATTCCATTGATTTCCATCCTCTGCTTGCAATAATGCTCCAGATTCTTCTTCCATTTAACTTGGAGTGTTTTTTTTTAACTTAATGCCCATCGGTAATTTTTTTTTGCCCCATCCCTTCTTTGTTCCGTTCATTTGTCAATTTTCTGAAAATGAACCGAGAAAAATCCATTTTGATTCCTCCCAGCAGTGTTTCGTTGACGTGCTCTGTGGTTTTACTTTGTACTCTGAGCCCAGACGACAGAAAGCCACGATAGAGGCTACTTTTCCGTTCTTTTCATTCCACTGCAAATTCTTCTTCCTTGTTTGCTGTTGGGCCTCATCTTCCTAATGAGTTCTGGTTTTGATGGAAATAAAAGTCAGAGCTTTGATTTCTCACTCCCAGCTCTTTATTTACCTCAGAGGGTTGGTCCAAGCCTTTGTCCCTTCTGTCTCCACTCCACTGGTTTGTTCACATGCACATGCCCCCTAGGCTTTGACTGTCAGCAAATTGTCCATTAGCTCCACAGTCAAATCCCCTTTGTGTTGTCTTGCATGTGGTACTTCAAGATTTCCTACTGAACTGAATTATATGAGTCTTCAGCTTTTCCAAATACTGACACTTTCTATACTAATTCACAGCACTAATGATGATGAAATCTAAAAACATGCATCTGACATATCTTTTCATCACAAGATTAAAATTCAAGTTTGTCTCCATCCATGGCTGCCAAATTTTTTCGACTTGAGTTTCACTGTAGTGGGTCCGGGGAGCCTAGAGACTCACTCCCATATGCTAATGCAAAAAGAGAAGAATAGTTACAGTTACACGGCTAGTAAATGTCTGAGATAGAATTTGAACTCATTTTCCTGATTCTAGGTCCAGTCCTCTGTCATTGTGCCACCTGGCTTCCTCAATTAGAAAGTATGTCCATGGTCTTGGGAAGCTTACGATCTTGTTAGGAAGACAAGATCCTCAAAATGTTGGGGAAGTACACTGGAAATCATCCATTAGTCTCTCTCATTTTACAGTTGAGGAAAGGAGTGTCAGAGAGCAAAATGCATCCAGAATTTGTGCTAAAGAGACAAAAGGAAGAGCTGGGCATCCTCACACAAGTATAGACAAGAGCCGGTTAAGTAACAGTGCAAGCCAATATAACACCAGCAGTTTGAGGGCATGGTTTGCTAAGCTATTTATTTTTGTTGTATTGTTCACTCATTTCATGCATGTCCCACTCTTCATGACCCCATTTAGGGTTTTCTTGGCAGAGATAATGGAGAGGTTTGCCATTTCCTTCTCTAGCTCATTTTACAAATGAGGAAACTGAGGCAAACAGGGTTCAATGACTTGCCCAGGGTCACACAGGTAGTAAATGTTTGAGGCTAGATTTGAACCCAGGAAGATGAGTCTTCAGACTGACTTCAGACCTGGCACTCTATCCAGTGCCCCACACACTCATTAATTTGAGGATCCCGGTTCCATTTATCGTCTGGGAGCTTCTGTAGAGCCAGGATGGCACAATAGGAAAAGTCCAGGATTTGAAGTCAAAGGATGTGGTTCAAATCCCAGCTCTGCCTCTTACTATGTTTGTGATCTTGGACAAGTGAGGTAGGGAGTAGTGAGGAGAAAAAAACAGTGGAAGGGACTAAGCATTCATAAAGCACCTACTATGTGCCGGGCACTTTTTACAAATATTATTTCATTTTAGCCTCACAACTACCTTTGTGAGGTAGGTACTGTTATTATCCCCATTTTACAGTTGAAGAAACTGGAACAAATCAAGATTACATGACCTGCCCAGGGTCACACAGCCAGTATGTATCTGAGCCTGGATTTGAATTTAGATCTTCCTGATTCTGAGTCTTGCATTCTATCCACTGCACCACCTAGCTGCCTCATTTAACCATTCTGGTAAAACAGCCCTGAGTCGTTTAACTTCTCTGGGCCTCAGTTTCCTCATCTGTAAAATGAGGTGACTGGACTATATGGCATCTAAGGTCTCTTGCAGCTCTGTATCCATGATCTCCTTATACTTTTTGGAAATACATGATCCAAAGACACACTGTTTTTCACTCCCAATTTCCATGTGTGAACAATTATATTAAACTGTTAATTATTTAACCTGATGTGCTTAGGTTATAGCTATACTCTGCATGAGGCTAGTTGATATTTATTTCACTGTGTCTCTTACTTCTCTGTCTTAATTGCCATGTTTTTGATGAAAGAAATAGAAATGTTCTTTATATGATGCTAATTCTTCACAAACATATTTTTGGAGAATGAGTTGAGTGAATAAGGCATGACCAAGGTCAGGGGTACTTATAAGGATTGCTCCTAATTGCACTGAAAGTCCTTTTAAATGATTTTGACATTACTCTCTCAGTTCAAAAAAGAAAAGAAAAATACAAAACATAAACTATATTTGACCTCTTTTATTGATGTCTTTATTTCATTTAAGCCATGTTTAAACGTGAACTCTAAGGCCGAGAGCCAATTGAATGTCACCATTATAATGTCAGGAGATGGTTTTTACACTAACGGGACCTTGGTAACGTGTGTTCCATTCTTTATCATTGATTTTATCTTCAGTGCTCATTTCTGGAGCCGCTGTCCACACAAAGCCCGTCGGTGCGAGCTCTCAGATCCTTGTGGGAGAAGACACAGATAAAAGGAGCTCACAGTTTTGAAACTGCAATGATACAATCTACATTTCCCCATAAGAAGGTAAGCATTTTCCCCCAGGAAATGCAATTTAAGTCATAAATATTTTGTTGCAATGGGTTTTATTTACCTTTCTTCATATTTCCAGAACCTAGCACAATACCCAACACGTTTTTATTGTTCGTCAGACATTTTCAGTTGTGTCCAACTCTTGTGACCCCATTTGGGGTTTTCTTGGCAAAGATATTGGAGTGGTTTGCCAGTTTCTTCTCCAGCTCATTTTACAGATGAGGAAACTGAGGCAAACAGAGTTAAGTGACTGGCCCAGGCTTCCACAGCTAGTTAGGTGTCTGAGGCTGGATTTGAACTCAGGGAGATGAGTCTTCCTGACTCCAAGCCTGGCATTCTATCTACTGCGCCATTACACATAGTAGGCATTTCATAAATATACACTGACTGATTAGATGATTAATAGTGTCATTCTCTGTTCTCTTCCATTCAGACCTACAACCAGGGCAGGGACATCCGGACTGTTCCCAAGGTGCCAAAATTAGCAGAATGATGAGAGTACTTGCAATTTTTTTTTTTTTTTTGCAGCATAGAAATTTGAGCCTAGCATCTATTTAGAACTAATAAAAAGGATTAAAAAGGAGCCTACCTAGTGGCAGGTTTCCCTCCATCTGTGGCTACATCCTGATGAGCTATCCACCCCACTCTGCTCACCCCCTCAGTCACTGCCAGGGCCAACGGCTGTGATTGTTACTATTATCTTTCACCATTGTGCTCAATGCTTATTTTTTTGTGCTACCACAGTGGACTAGACAGATTTGGAAAATAGGATGATCAGTTTAGAGCTAGAAGGACCCTCAGAGTCCATCATATCCAACCCTTCCATTTTCCTAATGAGGAAAAGAAGATGGAAGGTAAGTGACCTATCCAAGGTCACATAGTTAAGTGGTACAGTGGACTGAGTACTGGGCTTAGAGTCAGAAAGACCTGAGTTCAAATCGTTTCTCATATTTATGTGTACCTAGGCAAATCACTTAACTTCTCTGCCTCAGTTTCCTCATCTGTAAAATGGAGATAATACTAACACATACCTCCCAGGGTTGTTGTGAGGATCAAATGAGATAATTGCAAAGCTCTTAGCCCAGTGCCTGGCATAGAGTAAATGCTATATAAATATTAATCTCTTGGTGAGTTAAGGGGCTATCTACCCCCAACATGTTAAGACTTCCCCAGCAGAATGGGTGGATGTGAATAATTTCTTCCAATGGGACATGAAGCTAACAAAAAAAACCAAAAAAACAAAATCAAACAAAATACAGAGGCAGCTAGGTGGCTCAGTGGATAGAGCGCCAGCCCTGGAGTTGGGAGGACCTGAGTTCAAATCTGGTCTCAGACACATAACACTTACTAGCTGTGTGACCCTGGGCAAGTCACTTAACCCCATTGCCTAACAAAAAAAACAAAATCCAATGGGACATAAAGGCAGTAGAAGCAGGCACTGTGGGGTGCTTAGAGCTTAGTCAGACATTGAAGATGCCAAGGTCACCCACTGCACCCCAGGCTATCACCAGTTATCTTGACTTTTGTCTTGCCACTGGACTTTGATGACTCTAGAAGAGAGAGCGAGGCTGATAACTTTATGCTTCACTTAAATCCAATCCTGGCGAGTCAAGACAACCACCCAGTGGTGTCATTGGTCCTCTTCAAAAACGAAGGACAAACAGCAGTAAACAGCAAAACCAGTCGACAAGTCAACATTTATAAGTGAGCTCTCAAAATGTACCAGGCATTGCCAGAGGTGCTATTAGGCACATTGAGGATTAGTAACTGAGAGGCATCATCGTGGAAAGAGTATTGGCCTCAGAGTCAAGAAGATGCCAGTTCAAAGTCTGTCACCTGACACATCCTGGCTCTATGACGCTGGACCTGTGCCTTAGCTTCTCAGTACCTCAGGCAACCATCTAAGTCTCTAAGTTGCAGAGAAGGAACTGACTGGGATTGGTAAAAGGTTTTCCCTCATCTGGGCATTCCCATTACAAGTGAAATCACCTGTTCAATCCCTATCCCTAACGTTAACGTATGAGAAGCAGTTTGGCATCATGGTTAAAGAGTTATCATCTGACTCATGAAGACTTGGGTCCAATATCACTTCTAACTCATACTGACCGTGTGACCCTACCAGAGTCCTTTACCCTGTCCGTGCCCCTAAGCACTGAAGTGACAAAATTGTCTCCAGTGTGCATTGCTAGAAGAAGTTCTCTCACCTGTGATTTACTGGCTATACCAATAAAATCAGAGGTCTAGTCCAAAATGAGAAAAACAGAAAAGCAATTCTTCCCCCAAGAGAGTTAGCCTGCTGAGAAACACACGCATTCCTCTCAAGCAAAGGGCACCTGGCTGACATGGAAGGCTCATCCTGAGCAGGATGACTATTTTGTGCTTATGGGCCATTAACACCCATTTTCCTTCCTGAACATCTGTTGCCGTTGGCTGCTACAAAAAGAGAGTGATGCTGTATTTACCCATAACTCTTGACCTATCGAAAGGAAATGAGCCCCAAGCCAGGCTTAGATACCCACCTTCGCTGCATCCTCCGTCCAATTTTCCTTTCCGCAGCATCAGCTGACAATATGAAAGAAGACAAACCCATGATGGGGGATATTGTATTACTTCTGTTTTCTAAAGGGCCGGACCTCACCCCATCAACGATACACACCTCTCAAGAGCCCCCATGTACAAAGGCAAATATTAACCAGCCCCTGAAGAGATAATGTAGAAAAAGTGGGAGCTCCTTGAGGGCAGAGACTGCCCTTTCACTTTCTTTGTATCCCCAGCATAAGCTTCACACAGTGCCTGGCACGTAGTAGGTGCTTAACAAATGCTTTTTGACTGACTGACTTTGCTAACCTTAGAGCACTGGATAAATGCTATTATTTATTATCTTTTATTATTTTCTGTTAAATATTTTCTATAAATTTATTGTTTTATACATTTTTATTTTCTATTAATTAAATTACATTTCTATAAATATTATTATTCTACTGATCAGAGAGATAGTATGGCATAGAGGATATAGAGACTGGCTCGGAGCCAACTCGGAGCATTTCTAGAGTTCTTTTATTAGTTTACAAAGCATGCTATCTCATTTGACCTTGACAAAAACCCTGAGAAATGGGGAGGGAAAGGAACAAACATTTAAATACACCTACTATGTGCCGGGTACTGTGGTAAATGCTTTTTACAAATATTTTTTCATTTGATTCTCACCACAACCCTGCAGGGTAAGTGCTATTATTATCTCCATTTTAGAGTTGAGGAAACTGAGGCAATTAGAGGACACACAGCTTACATATGAGAAAACTGAGGCAGAGAAGTTTAGTGTTTTAGCAGAGTCACAGATATTAAGCACCTGAGTCAGAATTTGAACTCATATCTTCCTGCCTCCAAGTCTAACATTCCATCCTCTGTGCCATGTAGGGGCCTGGAAACCAGGTTTGTGCCCTTCCTCTGATACCTACTGGCTGTGTGACCATGGGCAGGCCTCTTAAACTCCCAAGGCTCTAGGCAGCTCTCCAAGATTCTGAGTTGCTGAAAAGGTGCCGACCTTGGATTGGTAGAGAGAGTTCTCTCACCTGGAAGTTCCCAATGCCATCAAATCACAAATCGGATCCTTATTCCGATTCTAATAATGCGATGACCGCAAATCTTTATGAAATACTAGCAGATGCCCGTCCACACCTGCATGTGTGCTGCCATAAATCCTCCTGGTCATACTTCTTTTGGCAGTGACTCCCGAAACCCCTCTCTCCTTTCCCCCTCTTAGTCTGTGACTCCCAAGTCTACTTTACATATGCCTCCTGCCCTCACAGATTCTCAAGTCTGTGTGGCCTGGAATACCACCTGGGTTCCCTTTTTGTTTCTCCTTCCCTGTTGCTTATTCTTCTCCTCTCGTCCCTGGTGCATCCCATCCCTGTGCCCTTTGCCCCGGCTCCCCCACACTAAGCCAACAGCATGGGTGCGGCACTATGAGTGGAGTAAGAATCAGAGTGGCGCAGCCACCTCTACCACAGACATCTCGTCTTGTCCCAACAAAAGCCCTATAGTCTCCTTCTTTGGCCAAAGTTTGCTCCCACCTCTTTTTACCATGTTGGCCATCAGACTGGGACTGCCTCAGGAAGGAGATGCACTGGACTGCCATGTCCTTCTCTCAGCCTCCTTCTGCCAGTAGAATCACCTTCGCTCCAACCAGCAATGTGTAAACATTCCACATATTTCAGCCAAATTCCTCTATTCCCTGAAGCACATTAAAGATTGTTTTACATCCTTGAGCTCCAGGCTACAAATTTCTCTTTTATGAGTATCAACTTCCTTCCTAGGTCCTTACACTTCATTCTCCCACACTCTTTTATGGGTGCCCTTTCTTTCTTTTTTTAAAATGTCTTTTCTTAAGCAAAACATTCTCTTCCTTCTAGCTTCTCAACACAGGCAGGTGAGATTTGAAACTCAGTCTGTAACTTGTATTACTTGTCGTTGTAGTGCTGAAGCCTAAAAATGTTAGACTGTAACTACTTCTGTACTGGACGTGCCTGGCCTGCCTTCCTCTAGTGCAGGGTTTCTTAATTTGGGGTCTGTGAACTCATTTTAAAAAATATTTTGACAATTATATTTTAATGTCATTTACTTCCTTTGTAATGCTATGAATTTTATTTTATGCATTTAAAAATATGATTAATAGAAGAGGTTCACAGGCTTCACTAGACTGACTAATTTCTACTCTTAATAGAAATATTATTTTTAATACTACAACTAGTAGAAGGGGTCCAGGACATACACACAAAATGTTAAGAGCCTATGTTCTACTAACAGATCTAGGAATTTACCTTTTAAGTTCTTTCTGATTTTAGTAGGGTTATAAATAGGTCCCCACCAACAAAATCTCCTATTCTGTTGGGAGGAAGGGGAGAATATGTGTGTGCACATATATATATATATATATATATATATATATATATATTACATATAAATATACATATATACATATGTGTATGTTTCTA